TTAAGATACTCCCTTTTTTTATTTTTGAGCAATTTTGTCGTTTCGTTCCTTGTGATTCGGAAGTATTCCAGATTGTCTTCGCTAGGATTATTTAGAGCTTTTAATTTAGCGGCTTTTCTTTTTTCGCACATGTTTAAGCAATCTTCATCAAACCAGGGTTTGTTGTTCTTAGTTTCCTTTTTTCCTAGGCACGAGTTACCGACCGCTTTTATATTATCCCTGATCTCTACCCATAACTTGTCAATATCCTCGTGGTCCTCGTCAGGAAGCTCTAAAGCTTCAAACCTATTCTTAACATCTAGCTCGAATTGGGTTCTAATTGATGGATTTTTTAATTTGTCCAAATTAAAATTCTCAAAATCATAACGGTTTTCTTTTCTCTTTTTTATATTAAGTTTTTGTCGAAGTTTCGCGATTACTAATTCATGATCCGACCCACATTCTGCTCCGCGATAAGACCGTACATTGATTATACTGCTTTGCCAGCTGTGTTGTATCAAGACATGATCTATTTGATTTCGTGTTTGCGAATCCGGTGATGTCCAAGTATATTTATGAATATCCTTATGTTTAAACGTCGTACTTTTAATTATCAGGTTTTTCGAGATGGCAAAGTTTATCAGACGGATCCCATTATCATTACTATATTCGTGCAAACTTTCTTTACCAATCGTCGGAATATAAACTTCTTCCCTTCCTACCTTTGCGTTCGCGTCACCTACAATTATTTTCATGTAGTTTCGCGGTAGTTTATCATAAACCCATTCGAGTTTATCGTAAAATTCACTTTTGACTTCATCGTCACTGTCTTCGGTCGGACAATGTATGTTTATTAATGCGATTTTAAACCAACGTCCCTGAAATATAGCTACCGAAATTCTATCACTAAAGAATTGTACGTCGCTCAAAGCGGATAGTAAGCTACTCCTAATTAGAAACCCGGTACCTAAACAATGATTCCCGCTTCCTCCGTACCAAATAGTGTACTTTCCTTCCCTCAGCGAGCCCTCCCCTGGCCAGCGAACCTCTTGCAGAGCCACGACATCCAAATTGTACCCATTTACCTCATTCGCGACCGATTTTAGCCCCCCTGCTGTGTTTAAACTCCTTACGTTCCACGTACCAATATTTAAATCCCTATATTTCAACTTGCGCCATGAATCCCCTAAAGCAGTCCCCATCCGGAGACCCGAACGGGGGACTACTTTACTTCCGGATAGTGAGCGTTTTACCTTAGGGAGATCCATGACTTTTTGTGGTGTTTGGTGAACTAAAGATATGTGAGTAGGGCGTTCAATCCTACGTCACACCCTCCAGCAAGTCTGGTGGGCCCCTACCTCCAGCAAGTCTGGAGGTCCCCTCCCTCCAGCAAGTCTGGAGGTCCCCTCCCTCCAGCAAGTCTGGAGGGCCCCTCTCATTGTTGGTCAGCGAGTCCATCGGACTTAGCCGGGAGGAACTTCCAAGGAATTTCCACCGACTATCCCCACATCCGCCACCCGTGGGACGCTCCCCATACGCGGTAATGAGCCCGCGCGAGGAAAATATTCACTTCAATCTTAACCAGTCGAATCACGGAATACGCCGAGGAAATTATCGGAGACTAACAATGCGGATTTAGACGGAATCGTTCGACTATTGATCAAATATTTTCTTTACGGCAAATATTAGAGAAAAAATTGGAGTATAACGGTATTGTTCACCAGCTGTATATAGATTTTAAAAAGGCTTACGATTCTATTGACCGCCAGAAACTGTATAATATTCTAATCGAGCAGGGGATTCCAAAAAAACTAGTAAATCTAGTCAGGATGTGCTTGACGGAGACACTCAATAATGTTAGAATCGGTAATAATTTGTCCGAAAAATTTGAGGTTCGTTCGGGTTTAAAACAGGGGGATTCTCTTTCGCCTGTCCTGTTCAATTTGGCATTAGAACATGCCATTAGGGAGGTAATGCGTACCGAGAAAGGGTTGGTTCTGGGCGGGACAACATCCGTGCTGGGCTATGCTGATGATCTGGTACTGTTAAGCGAAGACGTTGAAACTATAAAACTAAATACGACAACGTTAATGAAAGCCGGGAAAGAACTAGGACTCGAAATAAACGTGGATAAAACAAAATATATGGTTAGCTGCAAAAATGGCGATACTACTGGTGACATCGATATAGATGGTAATATGTTTGAACAGGTAGATAAATTTAGGTATCTAGGTTCAACGATAACTAGAAAAAACGAAATTGAAGAAGAGATTAAGGTTAGACTGAAGGCGGGAAATGCTTGTTATTTTTCTGTGACAAAACTACTTAGTTCGCGCCTCTTGTCCCGGAACTTAAAAATTAGAATCTATAAAACAATTATCTTGCCTACAGTTCTTTATGGATGCGAAACTTGGCCGCTTACATCAAGGGATGAGCAGCGTCTTAAGGTTTTTGAAAATAAAGTATTGCGTAGAATATTCGGACCGAAGAAGGATGAGTTAACCGGAGAGTTCAGAAGGCTACACAACGCCGAATTGCGTGAGCTGTATCCGGGTAATATAATTGATGTAATTTCATTGCGGCGAATCAAATGGGCTTGTAAAGTTGTTGGGCTTAGTAACGAGAGAATTCCTAAAAGGTTAATATTTGCTGTGCCGAATGGTAAGCGTCCAAGGGGTAGACCGAAGCGAAGGTGGGAAGATTGCATTAAAGCCGATCTGAAGGGACTGGGTTTGGACGGCGAACGGTGGAGGGAGGTGTGTAACAAGCGATTGATGGTGTCGGCATCGAACCTTCGGGTTCGCTAAGCCTTATTATTATTATTATGTAAGTTTTTAATTTATTTTTTTCAAATGGATTTTTACACGAAAAAACACACCTATAAAAAAAAGTAAAGTAAAGTCAGAAGGTATACGTGTAATATATCGTTGGAAAGAGTAGAATTTTAGAAAAAATACTATTTAAGAAATACAGTTGTATAAAGTAACGGAGAGTGACTAAAAATATAAATAATAATTTCTGAAAACTAACATTATTTAACGTTAATCATATGTTTCCAAGGAAATTAAAAAGGATTAAAGGAAGTAAATTAAATTTTCTTACTAAATGTATATTTTTATAATTAGTTTAAGTTTGAAAATAAGTACTTAAAATCCACCGTATAAAGCCAATGGCATTGTCTAAAATACTACTTCATTGTACTTGGGTGAAAGAAAAAGTGAAACAAAAATATTCCATGGATTTGTTCATAACCTTAAATACATTTACTATAGTTTAATAACTCTAGATCCGATATTATATGTAAATAATTAGGCATCTATCATCGGTTTATTGAGAAAGTCCATCATTCAACATTTTAGAAAATTAATTTAGTGAATAATTAGAAGAATTTTCCTTTTTGTGAAATCACAACATTATCTACTTTCAATTGCTGTGACAACTTTTCAGCTATCGATAATAGGCAATGAAAATCTCGGAACTCCATTTTAGTAAACTTTATATTCGAAAAATAAGAGTTTAATAATTAATAGTAGTACAATCCATAATCATCTATTGATTAAATGTACTGATGTACCTTGCTTTCAAATCTCACTAGGCATACATAGCTCAGCAACTGGAGTTACGTTGTTTACAAAAACAATTAGAGTCACGAGGTTTTTATTGCTTACCGTCGATGTAATACATATGGTTTGTGTTACCTTAATGATATTAATGAGTTCTTAGCTGTCAGGTTTAAGCTTCAGCTCTGTTAAAAGTGCTCTTCAAAAATTTTATAGTAGTCCAACATTGCCAAAAAATAATTTCGATTTAAAGTAGAGCGGTAAGTGAAAGTTGTGTGATGCGCGCACCACATTTTTTAATTCATCATGTTTTCTTTGACCATAACAATTGATTAACTACCCATGCAAAGCGACCGTTAAACACATTTGCCATTTAACTTTTTTATAATCAGATTTTTATATATGTATGTAAATTTTTTAATTTATTTTTTTCAAATGGATTTTTACACGAAAAAACACACCTATAAAAAAAAGTAAAATTTTAAAACTAGTAAAAGGTTTTTCATTTGTATGATAGATTAATCAAAAATATAATTACACATGTAGAGTATCATAACTTTAAATTGAAAATCTAAAATGACATACACGTATGGTAAAATCCCAAGTCGGCAAACTTTTAAATACAAACCTCCTTTATTACCTTTCCACGGATATAATTTAGCTAATAATGATCCAATGAATAACAATGGATAATGTCAGTGGTGGCTTTAGACATTAGGTACCAAGTTAAGGTACAATTATTTGCAATAAGTCAATAATATGAGATGGTGATATTTATTTCGAAACATATTACCTAAAGAACAATACTTTAGGGGTGAAAAAAAGGGGCGGAAAAAAATAAGCTCTCAAAAGAAAAACTAAAACCAAAATCATTGTTTTTTCAAATCTAAACTTAAAACATCGATGTTCTGATTTTATTTATATAAAGTATCGCTATTATTAACTATTGAATATATTATTAAATTTAATTTTTATAATACATCATATTCATCCTATAGACTTTTTAATTTAACCCCTATCTGAAAGTGTAGAGATTTGCTTATTGCAAAAAACACTTTGAATACAGAAAATTCACTAACCATGACATATTAAATACTTATGTTAATAAATAAATGAAGTTTGATTTTTTATTTTTAGGAAGAATTAAAAAGGTCTTCGTAGTAGCTCCTTAGCGTTCTTTATTAGCATGACGTTTCGAGCTTCTTTTTGCCTATTTTCAAAAGCTATTAACTTATTATTTAATATTTGTTTTACATATTATTGTGAACTTAATCTCATTATTCATTAAATATCATTTTTTAAAAAAATGCCTCATAGAATCTACTGTACCTTATGCTATACTCCCTGATGATGTCGATGAATTTTATGATTAAAAAAGTACTAGTTGTAAAGTTAGAAGTAAACAAGTCCATTGTTTGTGAAATATTTATAAGGAATCTCTTGTTTCGGGAATGATTTGTATAAATAAAAAGGTCTCAATTTATTTTAAAAACTGTACATGATGCATAGCAAAAAACCATTTACAAAAAAAAAAAATCTTCATTGCTTAAAAGTAGACGGCAGTAGTTCACACTTCTGTGAGAACAATCTCTCTTTTTTTTTGGATGTCTATTTTCAAATCCAAAAGCTCCATTTTCTTTGCATGTTCTTCCTGCATATGTCTCAATTCCTTTCTTATTTTCATCAAAAGTAATTTCTTTTGCAATTCTATCATTTCCAGTTTTTTTTCTTTAATGAGATCCAAACTTCCTGCGACTTTTTTTTTTCTTCTCTCTCTCTTCATCGCTCGAGCTGAATTTTCATCTACAACTGCATTGAGAAAAATATATTAATATAACTCAAGAGTTTATGTAAGACTGATTAGTGAAGTTAAATAATAGAAAATAAATACATTGTAATGCAGATATATTAAATGTGTTAATGATGAAGTTTAAGATGTTTGTTTTGAGTATTCTGGAATTAAAATCTGGTTTTATTTCTGCAATGGCAGCAATTTTCTCATCTTGAACGTAAAATGGAAAACATTTTAAAAAATTGTAAGTGTGGCTCATTAAAATCATCAAATTTCTCTACTAGGTTCACTGCCCATTCCATCGATTTCTGTTGTATGAGAAATAAATTTCATTACTATCAATTTTCTTTGTTTTATCCTGTTATGTAGAATGCCTATACTATCTTTTCAGGACAGTTTGTTCGCTAGGAGCTTGATCTACCCTATTGGTTCCGTAACTTAACTAGCCGAAATTGTGTACCCCATATGTTGACAAACGTTAGACAAAGAAACTAAACCTCGGTCCCAAGGGTGAAAAAAAGTTGCCTGTGAGCAACAGCAAAAATTCGAAATTAATATCACCTTATAAGAGCCCGGGTTTATTTTAGCTATTTATTGAAATCACAGAGAAAAAATATATAAAAGCTTTGTATTCATTTTTAATAATTATTTTGCTGAAAATAATGCATGTATTCTGCAATAATCAGATTACGAAAGACAGATTAGATTTAAACAAGAAGTAAAAAACTTTTATTTTTTAAATAAAAATACATTTAGTAAATGTGAGCAAAAGAAATATGATGTCATGAAAAGACTTGAAGAGAAACTACCCAATGGTAGGTAGCAAGCATTCTAATAATACATCTACATTAGGAAGTCCCGAGGTAACTTCTTTTCATACGCCTCCGAAAGTTATTAGGAATGGAAGAGGAAGCAAGGTTATAAACGAGAAGGTTCGAATGTTCCTTATGTTTATTATGGATGGATAGGTGTCTGGATTGGGCCCAATTGGAAACATATTAAGGAGGAGAAAATCAATCATAGATTATGTAATCCTCAGGTGCACTACTAGGATAAAGGTGAACAATGTTAGAGTAATGAGAGGGGCGGAATGTGGTTCGGATCACTTTCTTTTAAAGAGTATTCTGAATTTTAAACCCCATAATCTTCTTAGAAACTCTCCAGTGACCAGAGGAAATTCAGACTCTCCGAAAACGATTCGATACTCAATTGAGAGTATGAAAAATCAAGAATCAGTTAAAGGACTGTTCCAAAGCCGACTGATGGAGAAATTGAATCATGAAAAAGGTCTGAATGATCGGCTAAATTACGAAAATATAGTAAAGTGCCTGCATGCCGCAGCTTTAGAAGCTGTCGGAGAGGAAAGGAAAGAGGTTAGAGGAAAAAACAAGCCTTGGTGGAATGAGGATGCTGAAGTGGCTGTTCAAGAGAAAAAATATTTATACAATAAATGGTTGAGCTCTAAAAATGAGAAGGACCTGAGGGAATATAGAAATGCCTGTAAAAAAGTAAAAGCTATTAGAAGGAAGGCATTAAATATCTATTGGGAGAAAACCTGCAAGTATGTGGACACTTACATTGATGGACAAAAGTCTAGTGCTGCTTGGAGGACATTAAAAAAATTTAAAAATCCCAAAAGATGTGGAGATAACTTCCCATTGATCAAAGAGCAGCAATGGGTGAATTACTTTGAAGAATTATTTCATGAGGAACGACCCGAATTCGCATGGAACCAATCCGATGAAATGATCTCAAATAAGGAAGATATACCGCCAGTCACAATCATAGAACTGGATTTAGTTCTCAAAGGAATGAAAAATAGAAAATCTCCCGGCCCTTGTTCTATTCCAATTGAATTAATTAAAGCAGGCCCGACCGAACTCAAAATGGCACTGGCAGAAAGTATGACACTTCTGTTAAATGGTGGAGAGATCCCCGAAGAATGAAAACAGGGTTATATCACTCCAGTTTTCAAAAAAGGCCAAAAGAAAAACGTTTCCAACTACAGAGGTATTACTGTTACCAGCTCGCTGAGTAGATTATACGGCCGGATAATTAAAAGCAGAATTGAAAATGATTTAAAGGAAGAGATCAGCGAGGAACAGGCGGGTTTTCGAGCTGGAGGATCATGCACTGATCACATTTTTAGTCTCTCACAACTCAAGAAAAGAGGATGGCCCACGACCGTGAACTCCATATGATATTTGTAGATTTACACAAGGCCTATGATTTAGTACCTCTAGCGAAATTGTGGAAAGCTTTGGAAGCCACATCTATTAAGAGATACCTCGTCAGAGCAATTCAAGAGCTCTATAAAAATATAAAGGGGGCTATAAAAATAGGAGATAGAGTGTCTAGAAGCTTCTTCATTAACAAAGGATTGAAACAGGGCTGCTGCCTTTCACCCCTGATTTTCAACATTTACTTAGAACAAGCCCTTAAAAACTGGAAAAGATCGTGCTGTGGAATGGGTGTTCAAATCGGGAATGAAGTCATCTACAATTTGCAGTATGCCGATGATCAAGTCATAATCGCATCGGATCCGGATGATGTTAGCTATATGATGAGGAAGTTGCTAGACACTTATTCCAGATGGGGTCTGAAAATCAGTGAAAGTAAAACAGAGTATATGGTTTTCAACGCTCCAAACTTGCCCCTTGAAATTGATGACTGGACGCTAAATGTCAGCCAGCAGTTCAAGTACCTCGGATGCTGGTTATCTTCAAAGGGTGGTAGTGAGGTTGATATCGAACATTGATATCGGCCCTTGTTCTATTCCAATTGAATTAATTAAAGCAGGCCCGACCGAACTCAAAATGGCACTGGCAGAAAGTATGACACTTCTGTTAAATGGTGGAGAGATCCCCGAAGAATGAAAACAGGGTTATATCACTCCAGTTTTCAAAAAAGGCCAAAAGAAAAACGTTTCCAACTACAGAGGTATTACTGTTACCAGCTCGCTGAGTAGATTATACGGCCGGATAATTAAAAGCAGAATTGAAAATGATTTAAAGGAAGAGATCAGCGAGGAACAGGCGGGTTTTCGAGCTGGAGGATCATGCACTGATCACATTTTTAGTCTCTCACAACTCAAGAAAAGAGGATGGCCCACGACCGTGAACTCCATATGATATTTGTAGATTTACACAAGGCCTATGATTCAGTACCTCTAGCGAAATTGTGGAAAGCTTTGGAAGCCACATCTATTAAGAGATACATCGTCAGAGCAATTCAAGAGCTCTATAAAAATATAAAGGGGGCTATAAAAATAGGAGATAGAGTGTCTAGAAGCTTCTTCATTAACAAAGGATTGAAACAGGGCTGCTGCCTTTCACCCCTGATTTTCAACATTTACTTAGAACAAGCCCTTAAAAACCGGAAAAGATCGTGCTGTGGAATGGGTGTTCAAATCGGGAATGATGTCATCTACAATTTGCAGTATGCCGATGATCAAGTCATAATCGCATCGGATCCGGATGATGTTAGCTATATGATGAGGAAGTTGCTAGACACGTATTCCAGATGGGGTCTGAAAATCAGTGAAAGTAAAACAGAGTATATGGTTTTCAACGCTCCAAATTTGCCCCTTGAAATTGATGACTGGACGCTAAATGTCAGCCAGCAGTTCATGTACCTCGGATACTGGTTATCTTCAAAGGGTGGTAGTGAGGTTGATATCGAACATAAAATAAATAATGGGAAAAGAATAATAAGTTCGATAAATTCAACCCTATGGAGTAAAGAAATAAGATTAGAAACTAAAAAGAAGATATACCATTCCTTTGTAGAAAGCGTAGCCACTTACGGATCAGAAGTCTGGACACTGACAAAAAAGTTGGAAAATAAGTTGCTTTCCATGGAAATGGATTTCTGGAGAAGAAGCTGTGGCATATCTAGAATCGAGCGGATTCCAAACGCAGCTATTAGAGACAAGGTCGGATGTCAAAAGAACATCCTTCACCTGATCGGGACCAAACGGCTAAAGTGGTATGGCCACTTAATGCGGATGGATGAGAACCGCTGGCCAAAGAAAATTTATAACTATATGCCACCTGAAAGAAGGAAGCGTGGAAGGCCAAAGAAGAAATGGACAGAGGACGTGGAGGAAAGCATGGCAGCCAGAAGGCTTCGTGAAGGAGATTGGATGGACAGGGAGCAGTGGCTTTTGGATGTTGGGGATATGACTCCTTAAGTTGTATAAAACCCAAATAATAAAAAAAATAATAATAAAAAAAAATTAAGGAGGAGAATATTAAGGTTGTTATGGGCTATTTTATTTATGACAAATTAAGGAGCATTAAGAATTTTACGAAGGAATTTAGATTGTAATGATTAAATACGGGAGGTTTTGGATGGTTAAGTGGAGTCCCAAAGCTCAACTCCTTAAGTCCAAATACACATAATTATAGTCATATATATATATATATGTCTTTTATAGTTAATTAGGAGCTTACAGCGTTTATCTAGTAAGTGATGAAGTAACCGGAAACGTCGTGTGGTTTCTTGTCAACAATTTAATTAGATAAATCATTAAGGAACTGCATGCCCAAGAAAGTAACATTCTTATACAATTTAATTACTCTCATAGAAAAAAATAAAACAAATTAAAAATTTGAAGAAATAATAAATAAACCCACTCTGAAGCGTCGAAGGGTCAAAGGTAGCATCAGGAGAGCAGAAGCTCATAGGCGCTAAAGGCTCACTGTCTGATCATTGACCTTATCTCAACTAGAATGCAACTTCTCGCCGATTCACGTGTTTATAGTCTTATTATCTAGCGTGAGTTTTAGAGTTAATATTTAAATGTTTCATACATAATATGAGCATGATATACGCACACATTTTAAGTTTAAGTTTAATATTATTAAAATAAATAATTGGTAATTGGTTAACTGTCGTGGATAATGAAGAGAAGAATAGTTGGGTGGTCAGTCAAAAAGGAAGGCAAAAATAAATGATAATATTTATTTTTTACATATGCCGACGTTTCGACCTGAAGTTCAGGCCTTCATCAGGG